CACACCCCACACCCTAAACCTTAAACACCAAACTTCAAACCCTCAGCCCTACACCCTAAACCCTAAACCTCAAACCCTAAACCCCAAACCCTAAACCCTAAACCCTATAAACCCCAACCCCTCAGCCCAAGACCCCCATAAGAACCCTGCTTCTTAGGCTCCTTTATCAACCCTCAACTGAACCCCAAACCGTCCTTTTTTCGGCCCCGGAGAGGCAGAGCTGAAGGATGGCTCTCAGGCCAGTTCCTGGACACCCGGTTGGGGTTCGGGGTTTAGGGTTTAGGGGTTGGGGTTCAGGGTTTAGGGTTTAGGGTTTAGGGGTTTGGGTTTAGGGTTCAGGGGATAGGGTTCAGGGGTTTGGGTTTAGGGATTCGGGATTAGGGATTAGGGTTTAGGGTTTAGGGATTAGGGATTAGGGTTTAGGGATTAGGGATTAGGGATTAGGGATTAGGGTGTCGGGGGCTAGGGTTTAGAGATTAGGGTTTAGGGATGCGGGTTTAGGGTGTCGGGTTTAGGGATTAGGGTTTAGAGTTTAATTTCTTTGATCGAGCACGTCGGATGTTGGGCAGGGCCCCTGACTGCCTCGCCACTCTTCAGAGGGCTGGCATCTCTGGCCTCTCTCATAACAGCATCGTTGCTGCCCTGCCTGAGCTCAGCTTGGGAGTGGGAATCAGAATGGGGTACAGACCCCTTCCCGCGCTGCTCCAATTGCCGATGTCCGCGGCGGCTTGGAGATCTAAATTGATCGGCAGCTGCGGGCTGACAGAAATCCCAATGCGGAGGCAGCAAATTCTGCAAGGACAGCCCAGAGGGCCACGCAATTCGGCGAGCTCTACGGGGGAAACCGAATGACCAGGCATGATGCGTCGAGTGAACAGCCTGCTGCTGGAAGCCGTTGAAGCTGGTCCGGAAGCCATGCGCACCCTGAAGGCCGTCGATGGACAAGGTTTAGGGATTAGGGTTTAGGGATTAGGGATTAGGGTTTAGGGATTTTAAAATAAAATGTCACCCGGTTTCGGGGGCGTACGGCGCGTCGCAACCCGAAGCCTAAGCTTCAAGGTCCCTGAAGGACAATCCCCTTTCCGATACGGGACTTACGATTCGTATCCCTATGAACCTACGGGACTGGCTAGGTAACCTTTACTTCAACCCAAAACCCTGAGCCCTATTAACCCATTGGGGTTCATGTGGGCCTTCCAATGGACTGGAAGGGTTGACCTTTTCGGGCTGGGGTCTTCAGCCCCGCTGTTGACATGATAGTATAGAGTTTAGGCGGTTTAGGGTTTAGGGGTTCGTGTATCAGGCTTAGTTTAGCATTTACATAAAATATATATATATATATATATATACTTTTCAGAGTAGGGTTGAGGGTATAAGGTTTAGGGTATCGGGCTTTAGGGTTTGGCATATATAGAGCTCAGGGTTTATATCGACAGAAAAAGATATGAAGCTGAGGAATCAGGAGCACCTTGCCGGGGCAGCCGCCGTCCCTCAACTGCACGCCCGTGTTGCTGAACTGACTGCATGGGGCTTGCACTCAACCCTATAAACCCTCTAAGCCCTAAACTCGGAGAGAAAAGGGCCGGCACAAAAACAAACCCTAAATCCTAAACCCTAAACCCTAAACCCTAAATCCTAAACCCTAAACCCTAAACAAAAACCATACTCAAGAGGCTGCATTGGGGTTTAGGGCCGCAGGATTGACTGCAGCCTTTCCTGGGATGCAGAAGTTCAGGGAACTGGCACTTTCTGGGCAATGTAGGGGCCTTAATCATTAGACTAGGGTTTGGGGGTATATTCTACTAGCTAGCATCTCTGGGTCAAGCACTGTGT